CTTCAGCTGGGAAGGGACAGTTCCAAATCCTGCTTGGGAGCAGATGGAAGGCAGGAGAGGACAGAGCTGTGAGTGACCCCTTGGCACAGGGCTGCCTTTGGCAGCACAGAGGTGCTGTGGTGTGAGGCAGGGACCTGAGCCTTGCAGCACTCAAATCCACAGGAATCCAGACAAATGATAACTTAGTGACAGCAACACTGGGAATGAAGAGTTGTCTTTATCCCTTTAGAGAAGCCCAGGATACTGGGAGCGTGAAAAACGCCAATCACTTGCTTTTAAAAGTTTAAAAGTAATAAAATGGTTATAAAAATAATAATACAATTAGAGCAATAATATTTTGGACAAATTGAATTAAGACAATATGAGACAATAGAGACAAAGAGGTACAGACAGTCTGGGTACCTTTTTCTGGGCATCAGGAGCCCGAAAAAGGACCCACATTAACAGAGGATTAACCCTTAAAAACAACCGCCTGTTGCATATTCATACACTTCATACATGCTGCATAAATTCCATTCAAACACAGGATTCTATATGGTTTGTGTCAACTTCTTCCTTTCAATCCTAACAGTGCCCTCAAGGCAGGAAGAAGTTCATTTCTTCTGATAATGGAGCAATAAATTCTTTTTCTCTGAAAGATTTGGGTGTCCTGGGCTGCTATCTGGTGTGAGTGCCTCATTCCCTTCTTGAAAAGATCCCACTAACATAGTTCTTATTTTAACTACAAAAGTTACCTTTTAAGTACACGACTACATTTATCATATTATTAAAATGCTAATACAGCCCTACTAATCAATACATCAAAATACATATGGTAGATATCTGCATAGAGCCATGTAATATGCACTTCTTCCAGGGATCCATCCTTCCACAAGGACACATTGCTGGCTCGTGTTCAGTTTGTCCACCAGGACCCACAGATCCTTTCCTGCAAATCTGCTCTCCAGGTCAGCCATCAGCCACCAGCACATGGGGTTGTCCCTCACCAGGGACAAGGTTTTGGGCTTCCCTAGGCTGAAGTGCACGAGCTCCTGCTGGCCAGCAGGCTAAGCCCAGAGAGTCAGGTATCAGTGACCTTGTGAGGTGATCTGCCCTGTCAGCAGGTGGATAATGGGGCTGGGAGCAGAGCTGGAGCCAACACTGAGCCCTGGGGGTGCTGGCACTGCCTGGCCTCAGGCTGGAATTCACCGGTGCCTCTCTGTGCTCGTGTCAGCCACCTCGCTGCCTGCTCATCCAGCCCAAACCTCACTGGGCTTTTAGGAATTTGCAGCTCTTTGTTCTTAACATCAGGCAGTGAGATCCAAAAGCTGTGCTCCTTCTCTGTCCTCTTCTCCTTCCTGACACCTCTAGCCAGCTTGTCTAATACACTGAATTCCTGCAGGTTTCATCCCAGGCAGAGTAGGAAGATTAATACTATTAATACTGGGAAAAGGAGGTAAAATAAACACTTCTTCACCTTCTTTAACTCAGTCTAGCAGCAGGAGAAAGCACCTAGATGCTATGAAAGAAAATGTGTTTTATTGAAGGTATGTTTTGATTTACATTGTGTGTATTTGCCTCAGCTGATGTTGAAAGTTGAAATAATGATTTAGTAGCATCTTGTATTCTTTAAACTTCTTGTATCTTATTAAGTTTCCTTCTCTTTGTCTGCTAATGCTGAATATTCTTTGTATTGCTGTGTTTGAAGTGCTGCATTAAGTAGGTTGATATTGGGGAAAGAGGAGATATTCGGGATAAGACTTGGAAAAATGAGACAATGTAATCATCCCACGGTAATTTAATGGTGTGGAGTAGGGTTTAGCAGCTCTCAAATAGTACTTTAGTACTCAAACAGGCCCTTCTGCTTAATCAGTGTTTGTGACGTTTCCTGGGCTCTTTCAGTGCTCTGACAGTCTTTGTCATTTATTCTTAGAATGACGTTTCCTTCTATTGTAGCAGCAGGCTGCCACCCTCTGGTGAAATTTGTTAACTGTTGTGTAGGGACTGGCAGATTTTCAGAACAGAGAAGCCCTTTAAAGTTTGAAAATATTAGATGGAATAAATATTAATTATTTTATTAGACAAATGTAGATACTTGTACAAGAAATAAGAAATGAGAAGGATTTATATCAAGTTTCTCTTTCTTCCTCTTTCCTTTTCCTATTAACATTTGTAGAGAATGTAAATGTGGAGTTGATTTCTTGGCAGATTTTCTTCCCATCTGCCAATACTGAAATGCCTTGTTCTGTGGGAAGATCACTGAACACCAGTGTGGGATCATCAGCTAATTACTATTCTGTTAATTACATTTTTGTCCATGCTCAGAAACCATTGCTGAAACTGCATAAGGTACATTTGATATCACAATTTTTGTGTGCCACTGACACATCCACCTGTCTGTGTTAAAGCATGCCAAAGATGCAAGGTGTGGAAATTATTAATTATTATTACCACAAATGCCAGCTGAAGAATAATATCTGAAAATAGTGGAGTGTTGTTGAGCATCCTATGAATTTGAGGTGATCTAGGAAATTACTGCTTTTCTCTAAAAATAAAATCTAAAGGAAATGGTTAAAATGAACCATTTGATAATTCCTGCTGTAATGCAAAATTGTCAGTATAGTTTAAGTCACAGATGTGACAAGTTTAAGTCACAGATGAAGTTTTCTTAAACTTCTAAGCTGGCTGAATTGCCTGGAGGATGGTGCAAGCCTAAGCTGTTGATAAAATTGTTTGGAGATTATTTATTAAGAGTGAGGGTAGAGGCAGTTTCTTCAAAGTTGTGCTGCGGTTTCTTCTGTGAATGTTCTATGCATCCATGGGTGCTGACTGGAGAAAGAGTTTCTCAGTCTGGATGCACAGCCAGAGGAAAGAGTGAGAAGGCAAGAGAGTTTTTAAGGCTCTGGAAGGATAAGATCAAGACTATATGGACTTAGGACTTGACTGTATTTTTACAAAGCTTTCCCATTACAGTGGGACTTCAATAGCAAACTTAAAAATTTGGTGAAACTCTTACACAAATACCTGTAAAGAATTCATGGGCCTAGAGAAAGAGCATGAGGATGCAGCTCCTCTTGTCCATTGCATTAACCCTGATTAGATAAGGAATTGTTTGCATTTTCTGTGTTTCCTTTTAAACCTTACCAGTGAATTAGTGTAGAAAAATGTACTACACAACATTATGAGTTTGTTCTTTCAGTTAAGCTTCAGAATTGGAATCTGCTGGCTTTTCTGCTGGTGTTGACATTGCTGAAATGATGTAAGTAGTGCAGCAGGATATAAACCAGTGATTCATAAAAATGTAATGATTTTTTCTGTTATCTGTTGTATTTGCTAACATTGCATGGGGTTATGAGTTGTTTATGGTACTCTAAGGCAGGGGAGTCTGTCCTTAAGGGAATGTTGGTATTTGCTAGGAAATGCACTCCTTAGAAACATCTCCAGAAGCCAGGAATAGAAAGATGCTTGGTCATCAGCAGATTTTGTGTTCTGTTTAGTCTTTTGTTTTTATTCTGCTTTGAAGTGTGTTACAGAATTTCTATTTACAAATATTGTTCTTCAGTAAAAGCCTCCCCTGGTCTGCTCTGCCTCCTCTCTTCACATAGTTTGTGTCTCATGAGCAGAGTGATGCTAACAAAATATTAACTACCAGGAGACCAAGCAGATGAAAAGAATTCAGATATTAGATTTGATGCTGATTGTGTAGTGTCCTTAGGAGGGTGGTAGGAAGGCTGAGAGATTGGGAATTAATAGAGTTCTTTGTAGTATTTTCTTCTACAAGTCTGTGCCATTTCCCAAAGTCTTGGATTTTGAACTTTGTGCAAAGCAGCAGTGATAAATGACCTGTAAGCTCTGTAGATTTGGAAAAAGGAGCACTAGAGGAAGCATCTAGAGAAGAGTCACAAAGGTGCTTGGTTAGAGTCTCAGAACATTTTGATATGAGCAACCATGTAATAAGAGAAACACATGTAGGTACTCTGTAAGTTTATTTAATTTATTTTGAATCCCAATAGCAAATATACACTAAATAGATATCTCAAATATCCATTTTATACAGTACTGTCAGTATTGAGAGTTCTGTGTGCTGCCCTGCACAGGAAGGCAGGGCAGGCAAGTTCCAGCTGCTTGGTTTTGGCAATTGTAAGGGACTTCCATTAAGGAGGGATCCTTAACCCGTGTGATATCAAAATATAAAGAGGAAAAGAATAAAATGAAATGAAAAACATGATTACAGTTGTTATAGATAAAAGAAAAATGTTTGTGCTGGCCTAAAGGGAGTTTAATAGTCATTCCTATTAAGCTTGAAGCATATCATAAATCTTGTATCCTACTTTGAATGTTCAGACTGCATCCAATTCTATCAATAGCAAAACACTGAAGGACATTTTCTTCCTAAAACTGAAAGGAAAAATTGCCAACAGCTTTTAAAGACTTTTCATCTGTTCTTGATATGAAACTTGTCTTTATCTCACTTAAAAGATTGTAAGAATATATTCTAGCTTAGAGACAACTACCTGACAATATTGTAGCTTTTTATTGCATCTTTGCTCATTATCAAAAATGGCACAAGGAATTGCCCTTGAAGTCTGGTAATTTTTGGTTTTGCAACTTTTCTTACAACGCTTTCTGGGAGAGAACCTAGGTCTGTTTCCCAGCTGTGGAAAAAGTCACTTTCACATGATTTTTAGGATTTATTTGAAAGAAAGAATACGTCCAAACGATGTCATTTAAGGAAGGCATTTAACATCTATAATAGGAAACATCAAATATAGTTTCCAGTTCCACTTCTAAGAGTCCTTCTGTAAGCTATAAAGACTTTTGTTTAAATTACTCAAATGTAGGTTGAACATTGTCAAATACTACAACGGATCCTACTTAACATATTGTTTCTAATTAATTACCTCTGAAATAGCAAATACTTTGTAAACGGTTAAATAGCATAAAATCAGCATTTTTCTGCAAATTTCAAGTATTGTAAAACTGATTTGGACAAGTTGCTTTTTGAAAGGACCAGGTTGCTCTCACTTGAGGAAGTTGCCCAGTTGGACGCTGTTCCTGGCCAAAATGCAGCGGAAGGTGGAAGGCTGCACCTCCCAGTACTTGACGGGGTTGTTGAAGAGGCTGATGCCGCTGTACAGGGCTTTCTTCTTCCTCCGTCCTGTTGGACAGAAATCGTTCACTCCCAGCTTGGCAATGTGGTTGGAATGCAGGAAAACCACCTGCAGCAACAGGAACAGAAAAATACAGGAGCTGAATGAAAATGGGGAAAGTATTCCTTAGCATGTAGGTGACTGAGGTTGGCTAAAACATCAGTTCCATGCAGACCTTGAGAGTAACAAGACCTTAATACTTGTAATTAAATCTTTAAAAAAAAAGTCTTCCTTCTGCCTTAGTCTCTCCACAAAGTCATATGGCATTTTTTTTGTTTTTAGAATAATTGGACTCTATTCTTACAGAATTTGGTTCTAAAATGCAATTTTATATTCTCTTGTAGTAAAAATTATAATGATGTAGTAAAAACTATAATTGTTCATTCTAATGAAGAATATAATAGTATTATATTCTCATTTCTGGAAACATTTTTTGAGTGTAGCAGTTTCTTGTCCTTTTTTTTCCCTAGGAAGTGTAGCTGCAATTTGATTTTGTTTATTTCTTTAATAAGCTTTTATGATTTCAGGCTCTCCAGTAGGAGAGTCATGGCAAAATATATGTGTCAGTTAATTATGATTTTTGGTTGTGACTTAATCAGTGTGACAATGGGAAAGTCAAACAACTCAGAACTCCCAGAGATGTTTGATAAGTTTGGTGTATGACCTGCAGATATTTCAGTTCAGGTAATCCAGGAGGAACCTTCTTCAGCTTGTTTTTTTCCAGGTGGATTTCACGTATACTTGGGATGTTGGCAAAACTTCCATTTTCCACTTCTTTGATTTTATTATTGCCAAGGCCTAGCCTAGAAATAGTGCAAGGAACATTTAATTGAAGACTAATTGAGATTCACAACAGCATTGAAGAGCTTTTTTTTTTTTTTAAGATTGAAATGCACAGGGAGTAAACACAGGGGGAGAAAAGAACTGGAAGAAGATGAAATCTTAGCTTTGATAGGAAAAAATCACCATTGACCTATCATTTAAACTCCACTTAGAGATTGGCTTACAGCAGTTACAGTTATCTGATGTAAGCAAATGTAATGTTCAGTTTTGCATGCAGTTTTTGTAATTATAGTGGCAAGTATTTCAATTATAAACATCAAGCTGCTTGTGAGATTAATCATATATTTTACCAAGTAGTACAGCTGCTAAGTGTAGTCACTGTAATAAGTTCTAATAAATAGTGAAATAGCAAGTCTTGTCTAGAAAGGTGTTTTTAATGTATAGCTTTTTTTTTAAATATAAATATTTTTTACTAAGCAGGACTACCTTCTTTCCTATTTCCAGATATTCCTTCTATTTTTTGCTCTAAGGCTTCAGCCTGCTTTGCTCAGGAGGTGATTCAGAAGCTGGAGCCTCAGGTCATTCGGAATTGCTCCTTCTGCCCATCCTGCCAGCCCCTTTTTTCTCCATTCTTTCCTGATTGCTTCAGAAGCTGAATGGGATATCTAAAGGCAGTTCAGTAATTTCTGTTACCAAATCCAGTCCTGCTCAGCCATATTTTTAGAGTTCTTAACTGAGCTTTACAGAGAGAACTTCCTTCTCTCCTATTTCAGTGATACATTCCTCAGAAACATAGATTTTTCTTTAAACCTCATTGCATTTGAAAGCTGTTGTTTCCTTCACCAGCTGCTGTGTTTACAAAAATAAATTTTTAAGAATTAGAAGAACTTAGGATAGTTAGATTTTGTTCTTATTCTACTTTTCTGTTGCAGACTGTTGGCAAAACATGTAATAACAAGAATAATGTGGGGGTTTGGGAATGTGTTTGAGTCTTAAAGTTGGGTCTTACCTAGAGCAATTCCTATCAAAACACCTATCATTTTTATTCTTTTTTCTCCCATTAACAAGAGAAGTACCAAATATGAGATCTTGCTGGGCATGACATTTTAACAAATAAAGGGATTCAGCCTGGGAATTTTACCTTTGTAGGTCTTTGTACCGGTTAAAGTCCTCAACTTCAATTCCTGTGATCTTATTGTCATCTAAGTGAAGCTCCAGAAGACTGGAGGGCAAACCTGATGAAAAAAAATACACAGTGTGAAAAAAACAAATCAACTTATTTTTTGTTGGAACATTTATTATGTTCCAAAAAGCATCTTTCCTTTGTGTTTAAAATTGGGTTAGAAGAATCCAATAGAAGAATCTTGGGGAGGTTGTCTGCATCAAAGAAATTGGGATTACATATAACAGAGTATATGTAATTATATCATATATATATATATATGTATAATATGTATACATATATAGGTATATATATTACATATATATACACGTGTGTACCTATATTACACATATATATTTTATATATTTATCTTTATAAAAATAAATATATAAAATGTATATGTATAATATATGTATGTATATCTGTAATATCTATAATATGTATTACATATATATAATATATATAACATACCTATATATAAAATTATATATAATGTAATTATATTACATGTAATTACATATAAGTATGTTAATGAAGAAAATCACCATTATAATTTGGTTTAAATAATAACTTTTTAAAAAAATTAAGCTGTGGAAAAACATATGCTAATTAAGACATATAAGAGTTCCAAAATTTGGTAATTTTTCTGGCTTCCTTTATAACAACTCTCATGGTTACATTGTCAAAGATTCTGTGGTTTGTGCATTTATCTCAGAGTCTGTAGTCAAAGGCTGTGGAACCGGGGATAGTTTTTTGAAGCTCTGTAATTTTTTTTTACATGATGTAGCAGTTGTGCTGTCACAGCTGCTAGGATGTGACTGGAAGGAAAGGTTTTGGAATACTCTAAGCAGAATTGTGCTATTTGATAACTCTTTCCCAAGCCAGAATATTTTCTCTTGCATTTCCAAAAATTCCAAATCCAGACTGGTGAACGGACCAGGAGGTGGCGAATCTCTCCACAACATCCTCTTAGCGAGGGCAAGGGGCAGCTCATGGCAGCCTGGGTTTGTTCGCTGGTGCTGGGCTGTTCCCCGAGCCTCGCTGGGGATGGCCCCGACACCGAGCGGCTCCCGCTGGCCTCGGGGGCTGCCGGAGCGCCGCGCCCGGCTCTGCAGGGATGGGGCTGCTCCCGGCCTGCCTTTATCCTTTATTCCATTTGCAATACAGGAGCGCCGCTCCCGGCTCTGCAGGGATGGGGCTGCTCCCAGCCTGCCTTTATCCTTTATTCTTTATTCCATTTGCAATACACGAGCGCCGCGCCCGGCTCTGCAGGGATGGGGCTGCTCCCGGCCTTTATCCTTTATCCTTTATGCCATTTCCAATGCATGAGCGCCGCTCCCGGCTCTGCAGGGATGGGGCTGCTCCCAGCCTGCCTTTATCCTTTATTCCATTTGCAATGCAGGAGCGCCGCTCCCGGCTCTGCAGGGATGGGGCTGCTCCCAGCCTGCCTTTATCCTTTATCCCATTTGCAATGCAGGAGCGCCGCTCCCGGCTCTGCAGGGATGGGGCTGCTCCCGGCCTGCCTTTATCCTTTATTCCATTTGCAATACACGAGGGCCGCTCCCGGCTCTGCAGGGATGGGGCTGCTCCCGGCCTGCCTTTATCCTTTATTCCATTTGCAATACACGAGCGCCGCTCCCGGCTCTGCAAGGCTGGGGCTGCTCCCGGCCTTCCTTTATCCTTTATCCCATTTGCAATACACGAGCGCTGCTCCTGGCTCTGCAGGGATGGGGCTGTTCCCTGCCTTTATCCTTTATTCCATTCGCAATGCAGGAGCGCCGCTCCCGACTCTGCAGGGCTGGGGCTGCTCCCAGCCTGCCTTTATCCTTTATTCCTTTATTCCATTTGCAATACAGGAGCGCCGCTCCCGGCTCCGCAAGGCTGGGGCTGCTCCCAACCTGCCTTTATCCTTTATTCCTTTATTCCTTTATTCCATTTGCAATGCAGGAGCGCCGCTCCCGACTCTGCAAGGCTGGGGCTGCTCCCAGCCTGCCTTTATTCCCCTTGCAATAAAAGTTTGTTTGGGCTCTGCTCCAGTTGGCGTTCCAGCCTGCAGTTCCGGGTGCCTGAGTGACAGGATCCAGAGGGAAGGCCACCCACCTGTCCACTGCACATTTTTAGTACTTTTTATAAGCTACGGGTTTTTAAACCTTTGTGCCATTGTAGCATTTGCAGAGAGAAGCATCTGCAAACTCAGCTTGCATTTGTGGTGAAGGAGTTCACCATGAAATCATGTTTGGTTTGGTTTGTTTATGTATCTGACACCACAATTTGGATCTCATGCTGTATGTCTTTATAGGAGATTGCTCTATAACAAAGGCAAAATTGGAATCATTTTATGTTGGGATTTTTTTTGTGCTAAGTGACAGGAGCTGATACTAGATTGTGTTGGGTTTTATTTTTTTTTGTTAGGCAGACAGAGGCTTTCTGATTTTAAAGTTACCTGAACAGTTGGGGTGAGTTGATTTTGATTATTGTTGAGGGTTTTTTTAGTGTTCTCTTATCTCCTGTATATCTATATGTACACATGTATATGCATATGTATATGTGTATATATATGTATATATACAGGAAGAGATTAATAAGTTCTTTATCTGAGTGATCAGAAATACAGGGGCCAACATTGTTTCCCTGGGAGTTAGAGCATAGAATACAGTGTTTTCCTTTGTTTCCTTCCTGGTTCTCTTAGCTGGTAGTTTTGAGTGGTTGAAAATCATGAGTTTGGTTCAATACCATGCTGACCTGCAGAAAAAGCAGGTGGAATGTTGCACTGAACTCTTTTATGCTACATTTGTGTGTGTGGAGGTTAGTGATTCATCAAATTAGTGTTCTAATTTATTTTTACCTCCAAATTACAAGGTTGGGGTTTTTTTTGTATGAAAAAGTGATTTGATTTTGTATTATGTTATGGTGAATTTAATTAAAAATTAAAATTAAGTTTTACTTAGCAAAACTACATTGAATATTGTATTTGAGGTGCAATGTGACATGAAATATTAAAAATTAAATTTAGACATTTTGGGGTTACATTTTAAATCCGGAAAGGAATTTTGCATCCCTTATATCCCTGATCAAATATCAGGGAGTTTTTCCTTTCTCTGTGAGGATCTTTGAGAGGCTGACATGTGAAAGATGTGAAGTGACATCAAATTAGGAATTTCTTTGTATTGTTCCTCCTGAGACAAGTGTCTGGACACTCTGTGAGAGGAGTGGATGTGCTGACAGGGAGAGGGTGGGACAGGGTGTGTTCTGTGTTTGTGCTGTTTGTGTGTGAACTCTTCTGAGATGGGGAATTGCGTATAAAGTTCAAAAAGCAAAGGTAAGAGGTGGTCTGCTAGTAATGAGAATAGAAAACAATTTATGAATTTAATAATCCTTCAGATGTTAAAGCATTTTATTAAGGACTGTGCTGGTATAAGTAAATTAGAAAAGGGAAAGCAGACCTACCTTTAGGAATTGAAGTTAACTTGGCCTCTGCAATTCGTATGTGGTAGATATTCACCCCTTCAAAAGCCCCTGGCTCTATTCCATCGTTGTTAAGAGGATTTGCACTCATTTCTGACAAAGGGGGAAAAAGAAAAGTGTTTATGGCATAGGAATTTTGTGCAGGTTAGACTAAGTTATGAAGAGCTGATTTAAATTGATTTCTGATATTCCAAGCACTCATTAACGTTTAGCTTTGATTGTGTGTTCTGAGGGGTGTCACAGCTCTCAGGGAATTTAGGCTGTGTTACTTGGCTTGCAGGATTATCCAAAACTTGACCTTTGCAGCAACTTCACATAGAAACTAAATTGTGGAGGGTATTCCCACAGCATGGATATCTCTTTAAGGAAACTGTGCCTTGGGGAAATGTTTGAATGGAAATGATGTATAATACATTCCATCTTTGGGAAAGACATTTTCTGTTCTATTTAATCAGGCTTACCTAAAACATGTAGAGACTTCATTCCTTTAAATACATCCTTGGGGATTTTCTTAACCTTATTAGCATGAATTCTGAGCTCTGCCAGAGTTCTGGGTAGATTTGTTGGAATCTCTGTCAGTTGATTGTGGGACAAATACAGTCGTCGTAGCCTCTTTGTTGGTTGAAAGGCTTTGGGATGGATCTTGTAAATTTTATTGTTGTTCAAAGCCAGTGCCTATGAGAGATGGAAAGAGCAATTAGAAAGCTTTCTTTATCCAGGACTATTATGACTATGAGTTTGAAGTCATGGATTTGAAATGTAATTCAGCAATTAAGTATTTAAAATATTTTATTTTTCCATCCTACCAAACTTCAGCACTTTGTAGATGCTTTGGGAATTTCAGTTGATTATGAAAAACAAAGAAGAACCTGCAAGCTGGAGCATTAACCTGAGGGTAGAGCTGACAAGGTGCCAGTGGATCATGAGAACTGACAAAACAATAGGTTTGTCTTCAGATATTTTGTGGGATTATATGGGGTTATATACCTCATTGCTATTGTTCCTTAATGCAGACAAATTCTCAAAACTCAGAATCTCATCTTTTATTTTAACATAATGCTGCAAAATAAAAGGGTAGTTTTTAATCTGAGTTTCTTATACATTAGTATGTGTAGATGACACATAAATTTATGTTTTATTTGGCGTTTCCAGTTCCTGTGAACTTCAGCCTCTCTCTTCTGTACCGTACATGAATCTTTTGGGGGCAGCTTCTTCCTAATTGCTATGTGTTATCAGAGAGCTTGTAATAAATTACTACAGACAGCAAAATACACACTATCTGGAATGCTTTTGTATGCCAAATCCCATCTCTGCATTTCCATACTTAAGCTATTCATTTCTGTTCCTTTTTTATTTCTTCGAGTCATCTCTTCTTAGGAATTGTGCGGGGGAAAAAAGTAGAGCAAACAAGATTTCTTTTTTCACAGAAAAAAAATGAGCTTAGCTCAAGGAAATAAACAGGAAATGCTCCTTCCTAATCCAAGTTGCCATCTGTGCCTTTGCTAAGCAGGCTCCAGGACCGAGCCAAGTTGTACAAAGTAAACTTTGCTCTCAGTTTGCTGTTTGGCCTTGCCACAAATGAACCGAGGAGAAAAAGCAAAGCAGCTTGGTGTGCTCAGCTATCACATCATTAACTGGTGACTCTGGTCTTTAATGTGATTGCTGATGGATTCCAGTGGCTTTCTCAGTCATTGGAGATAAGAGACTGTTAGATCTTTTACACAGAATATAAAGCACAGTTTGTGTTACCTTTTGCTTGCTGCTAAGACCATTCTGCACCCAGATATGAGACAAGAGAATAGGAAATGCTTTGTTGCCAACTCAGAATTTCTGGAGTTCCTGTTTTTTCTGTCCTGTCCTAGGCCATAAAAATTGACAAGCTCATTCATAAACACTTAGATCTCGTAAATTTTCAGATCTTGCTTAGAAGCCAAATATGACTGAAAGGATTTGTTTTATAGAATCACAGAATGATTTGGGGTTGGCAGGGACCTTAAATCCATCCAGTGCCATGGGTGGGGACACCTCTCACTATCCCAGGGTGCTCCAAGCCCCATTCAGCCTGGCCTTGGACACTTCCAGGGATCCAGGGGCAGCCACAGCTTCTCTGGGCACCCTGTGCCAGGGCCTGCCCACCCTCACAGGGGAGAATTTCTTCCTAATGTGTTAGGAATGGTCCTTATGTTAGCTTGTGTGTCTTGTGTCTTTCTAATGGAGAATAGAATGTACTTAATTTGCTATCAGTTATGGAACAGATTTGTGGTTTAGAGAGAAAATTTTTAAATGGTCAGTATTTGTTAGTGGAACTAGATCTGGATACTGGATCTGTGCTGACATCCAATAGAAACAAATATTCTAAAGCAGAATTAATCTACTTCCCAGCCCTCTGGGACTCTCATTTCCTTTCATCATAAAAAGGGATTATTGCATACTGTAAACATCTAGATTTATCAGTTGCCAGGGATATTTGTTTCAAAGCCTGTCACCACATGTATAATTGAGCATGGTAACAAATTAGGAGTAAAGCCCTTGATTTTTCCAGTAATTCAGTATTTCTCTGTTTTCTGTTCAGGTCAGCTGGATTTGTAGCATTGGTTTCAGTGCTGTGTGTTAGCTGTATGTTCTGTTCTTTTGAAAATACCCTCAGAAAATGTGGTTAAATTCTTTCTGCTATTTTCCATCTAAGCAGATAAAGGAGGCCTTGCCACCTTTAAAATGTAGAGATTGATTCTGTGCATGCTAAGAACTGAAAAATCTTGAGAATCTTTTTGGTTAGATCTATTTTCTGGGTACTGTAGAAAGTAGTTCTTACAACTCAAAGGTATTTGCTTCTTACTATGTGGAAGCTCTCAAATATACAGGTCTTAGACTTTTTATCTATATTATTGGAGGAGGAGATAACGTTTATATTTATAAAGTATCTAAATATTTCACATTGCTAACTAACTGGGAAAGTTGGGAAATAGCAAGCTTACATAAAGTGATGTGAGTCCTTGGAGATCATTCTCCTTGACCTCTTTGATTTTGTTGTTTTGAAGATCAATCATCCGAGTATCTGGTGGGATGTTGCGAGGAATTGATGTCAAACCTACATAAGTGACATAAAGAGAAATATTATGTGCTGTACTTAAGTCCAAAGAAATTTACTGCCAAACATCAAAACACAAGAAGATTTTTAATTAATATGGTGGGGAAGAAAATATGAACAGCCATAAAGCAAAGGGTAGAAGGGAATTTTTGATAGTGGGAAAAACTAATGATGTAAGAATGTACTACAAATGTGAGCATAGTTTTGGGAGGAATTGCTTCTGCCCCTGACCATGAAAACTTAATGGAGACTGCTCACTGTGGACTCTTTGCACCTGTGAAATAATCCTCAGAGCATGAGTTGTCCTACAGGGCAAGTGTTTAGTCCCTGGAGAGGGATCCCTCAGGAATCCAGGGCAGTGGTTCCCTGTTGAGGAGCAGGGGTCCCTGTGGATTCAGGGGTCTCTGCTTAGTGCTCCTTTGGACCTCTGCTCTGCCCTGTCCATGGCACTGGAACAGCTGCTGAGGGTTCATTCAGGTCATGGCAGGGCTGAGAAACCTGTTCTTGGTGTGGGCAGAGGAGGGTCTCCACTGCCAGCACTTTATACCAGTACCAGAAACCATTAACACCAATCAGTACCAGGACCAGAAGTCATTAACACAACTCATTACAAGAACCATAGATCATTAACATAAATCAGTACCATTAGCATTATTCCCCCATTCCAGTTTGCTGTTCAGTTACAAACCCATTGCAGTTCAGGCCATCTGAGATCATGAATCAGCAAAAAAGATTTAACAGGGACAGGGACAGAAACTTTCTTTTGAGTGGAAATGCTGATGCATGAAATGCTAAATGCTGTCCAATTTATTAACAATTATTCTATAATTAATAGATTGCAATTATCTAAAGCTGAAGTCTATTAATGTGGGATTTTTCTATGTGTGAATTCATCTAAAATGGTTTGAAATCTGTAGACCAGATACATTAACCACAATTTGCTGCTCTCAGCAAAAGTTTCTGATTCCTTAATAATAACACATTTTAAAAACCCCTGCAATTTATGTATGGAGACTGTTTCTAAGACATGAGAGTCCAGGATGAAGTTCAGGAAGGTGGCAGGGCTGTGATGAGAACAAATGTCATTGTCACTGTGCTAGTGGTGGGACCACAGTCCTTTGGCTGCCTTGAATGATAGGAAAACTTCAGTGAGCACTAATTGAAATTGGCACAATTAATAATGAATTCACTTTTAGGGACTGGGATGTACCTGCAGCACTGACAGGAGCACATTTGCCTTTGGCTAAACAGTTACCAGGGATGCTCACTTGGGTGGAAGTTCAGCTGAGGGAATACTTTGCATCCCATCCTTTAAAAGACAAATCGTACAAAGGAGAATCCAGTGGAGAACAGACACACAAATTCATTCTTACCTAGGTCAGAGCAGTGGACAACTCTCACATAGCACTGGCATCCAAAGGGGCATGTTGGGAACAGATCAAAAGGAATCAGTGGTAGAATGGGTTCAGTGGTTGGAAATAGAGAATTGTCATCATCGTCATCATCGTCGTCGTCTTCCATATCTTGGAGCATCATATTCTTCAGTGTAAAATATGAAGGACCAGTGAGAGATTTGGCAGAGCACAAAGCCAAGAAGAGAAGGAGTGTGTATTCTTTCATGTCTTCTTAATCAGGATAACCAATCTTGGAAAGTGAACAAACGAACAAAAAACAAACACCAGAATCAGTGAATAGGGAGCAGCAGATGAAGCTATTGAACTGTTTACTTCACTCACTGCCACATCATCTAGTCCTGAAAAAGAGCCTGTTGTGAGTATTGAGGTTTAATTAGTATAAGAAGGATTTTAAAATAATCTTTTAAATATAAGTTAATACTATAAAATTACACATAATATTAACTTAAATTCATTAGGCATTAATGTAATATCAAAGCATTTTAGTTTAGTTTACAAATAATATTATCATTTGCTTCAAGCTTTGAAGTAGAATTTTTGTAGTAAACTTTACCAGAACTTGGACTATGATTTATTTTATTCATTCTCAATGAAAAAAATATTTTTAGTGGGATACATTGGCATATGTGCATTGCTTATAAAATTTGGAAGTACTTGATTAGCAGTGCATAAAATGCACTCAGTGGGATACTTCCTAAACACTCAGTATTCCACTTCCTAAACACTTTATTAAACTCTTCTTAGTCTAATCTGAAGTTTTCAGTCCTGAGCTTTTCCCATGTTCCAGTCATTTGTTTGTTACTGCCATTGATGGAAATTCACCTCTGCATGCAAACAGATCTCACAGAGTTGTAGAATCCCAGAACACTTTAGTTTGGAAGGGACCTTACAGATCATCTCATTGCACCCCTGCCATGGCAGGGACACCTCCCACTGTCCCAGGCTGCTCCCAGCCCTGTCCAGCCTGGCCCTGGGCACTGCCAGGGATCCAGGGGCAGCCCCAGCTGCTCTGGGCACCTGTGCCAGGGCCTGCCCACCCTCACTGGGAAGGATTTCTTCCCAATATCCAGTCTAAACCTATTCCCTGCCACTGTGAAGCCATTCCCCTTGTCCTGTCACTCCAGGCTCTTGTAAAAAGTTCCTCTCTGTCTTTCTTGTGGGCTCCTTCAGGCACTGGAAGGCCACAGTCCAGTCACCCCAAAACTCCTCTTTTCTAGACTGAACAAACCAAATTCACTCTTGACTTCTGTTTGAGGAGGGCTCTTTTCTCTGAGAAGGATTGCCTATTAGAAATCCATGTCAGTGGAAATCAGTGACTTCATTTACATCCAGAAGAAAAGCTGAAATCTGGTAGATTTGTGTGTGAATTTTTCAACATAGGTTGGGGCTTTTCTGTTTGTTCAGGTTTTTTTTTTTAACTTGCTCCTACAGAACAAGGTAGAGAGGAAAATAGAGAAAGTAAGAATTGCTGCAGATGCAACAAACTTTGAGAAAATGTTGTAGATTCAGCCCTCAGTTTCATGTTCTTTCCCTTCAAATCCCAATTCCAGAATCATTTGGTAGTGTAAATGTGCTCCACAACCAAGAGGGGGGCTGCAGGAAATTTTATTGTGCATGTCCTGTTTATAAAAGTGTTTCTATTTAGACTATTATAGGCCTCTTTAAGGAAATACTAAAAGGGTGTCAATTCTTGTTTGATCACCTAATGAAATGTTTGCTGATCTGTTTGGAGATGAAAAATGCCTTTATGTAGGCATTTTCCCATTGGTCCTCCACTGCAGCAAAAGGAGTGCTCTGCTTTGTACCAGGGTTTGGCTTGGCTTATTCAAAATGAGGTTTTGTTTATACCACTTTTTTCTGTGCAGAGTCATTTTGATGTTTATTGAGGGGGGGCTCATAACAGCATTAAATGCAAATATCCTGCATACCTTACTGCTCCTGTATCTGTGTCTGTTTAAAAAGAGTTTAAAGGGAGTTTAAAAAGAGGAAAGCTAACAGTGTTCAGATAACATAAAAATAATGCAGTGACTTCTTTCCCCCAAATATATGCCTGAAATCAGAATCACAAAGTACTTTGTATCTTGTAGGTCAACAACATCTAGCTAAATTTAATATTTCCCATAATATTTCAGTTGCATGCCCATTCAGGTAGTGCATGTACTTTTACTGATGTAACAAGATTACCTTCACATGTATTTTTCCCATATATTTTCCTTTGTGTTCATAATAATGTTCTCTTGCAATGCTCCTAGAAAGAATTTTGTGGATGTTCTTGCAATCCCTTGCAATGTCTGTCCTTGAAAGACTCTGAATATAAACAGTGCTGGCAGGAAGGTGTGGAACCTCTGTTTGTTTTTTTGGAGAGAATTGTTATCATCTCTGGCTGTGCACCTTTGGAATATTTGGCCTTTTCAGTCTTCTATTTCAGCTTCAGAAAAAGGCCAAAATTTTCACTACTTTAGTCATACCATCAGTTAGGAGATGAGGAGTTGGAAGCCTTTCAGATTCCAAGTTCTCCTTGTTCTTGGACAAGTGGTTTAATGGCTAGGCTGCCACACATGAGCTCTCAGGCTCTCTGTTCTTCCCTGGCAGTTGAGGTCCCAAGTGCCAAAATGCCCTGTGGTCTATCAGTGATGAGACTCCATTTCCATATGCAGGATATCAAGTGTGATGATGTCTTGGGACATGGACTTTCCAAGTCCCTGCTGACTTCAATTTCTGAGAGGCACTGGCTGTGTGGTTTTAGTGGATCTAAAAGATAAAATTGTATGTATGTTCCTAAAATGTTCTTTTGGATCTGGTGCTAGGAAGTTCTCTTATGAAACAACCTAAAAATCTGCTCCCACACTTGCATCTGTAGCAAATGGATTGCATATTTCCTTCCATGTAGCCAAAAATTAGGCTTTCAAAGCATTAAAAGATTGAGGCAGCGATTGGAATAGTGGCCAATTTGAACTCTTGAAAAACATGTGTTGCTCACAAAGCTCTAGAAAAGTAGTGTTGAAATGTGTCACTGGTGAAATATATTGGTTCTGTAGTTAAATCTATTGAAAACAAGTCCCTGAGTTGGGATTTTTTTCATTTTAAAGAAAAAAGTCCTTGCTTCATCTTCTCATCTTGCCCTTAAGAAATCATTATTGGCTTTGTAATTAGGAATGACCATCAAGCTTGACTCCAGGTTTGCATAGGCCACAGAAATGCCAAGGAATGGATCCTAAAGAACTGAGTTTTATGAAGGTGAGGGAATGGTTCTTCCCTGCCTGAGGTTTTGAGTTTCCCAGTAAATAGATGCTGCTATGACTCTGTAAAAATGCTCTGACTCTGCAGTGCTTCTCAGAGAACCTATACAAACATTCTGTGTGCTTAAACTTCAAGAATAAGAGAATTAAAAGAAAGCCTAAAATCTGAGATGCTAGTGATCTCTCTGAAAATAGTCATGAAGGTTTTATGAATCACAGTTTCAGAAGGTATAGGTACAGCTGTGTTAATGGTCCTCTGCTGCCACTGGAGCCTGACTGTGCTCCCAGGGGCTCCCTGCCAGCTCTCTGGTACCAGCTCTTCCTTCAGACTGTTCACTGAGCTGGTTGAACTCACTACCCCAGCACAAAACTAATGTGAACTACAAAAAACTCCATCATATTCTTTTCAAATGAAGAAACTGAGTCAGTTTGGAGTACCAGAACCAGCACAAAAGAATGGGTGGAACAGCCTGGTTGTCAGGGCTGGAACATTAAATGGAAAGAGAAGGAAGGAGGAGCAATGGGGGAGCCATTCCTGACATATTCAAGCTGTTAGGCAGACTAAGGGCTCTGTTAAATAATCCCTGAGCAGCTGGCTGTCACTTGGACAAAGCCTGGCTTTGTCCATTCTTGTTTTAACAGACAGAACATTGAGAATGAGTTTGACAAAGACTGTGGTGAATTCAAGCTCCTCTGTGTCAATCCTTCTTATCCTTGAGCACAAAAAGCTTTTGAGCACCTTCTCCCTGGAAACATGAGCCACCCCAAGGTGAGGTGACTGAATGTGGAGAGTGCACCTCACATGGAGAGGTGCTCTAAGGCGCTTTCCTGAGGTGTGTAACTGTCCAAAAATCACTGCACTGGTTGTTTGGGACACACTTATCCTCACTAATGTGGTCATCTATACCCAAACTCATATTGCCAAACTACACATGGAACACAGGCACTTTTTATGCTATTAGTTATAATTTGTAAATCATTAAACACAGGTGATGTCACAGTATAATTTAAGATGATTAAAGGCCTTGAGATTTTATGTGGAAAATTCCCATATTTCTGTGATGTGAAAATTCTAAACATGGGTTATGGGAAGAAAATCCCTTTCAGTGAGAACAGAAGATGTGTTGTTAGCGTGGGAAGAGGGCATAAAGAGACCCAACAACAAATAACTCTGAATTGCTTGGCAGCTGCAAACCAGTCCAGCAACGTGGACTTTGCTGTCTTATCAGTTATGATGCTGAAGGAGTTAATACATGAAGTTTCTAAATCTTAAAAAGACTCTAAATTATATTTAGAAATCACTCCTGTTATCGAGGTACAGAGACAAATTTCCCATGGCATTATTTCTGAAAAGGAAATGTTTAAATGACCCAGTGGTGGTCTTTGCAGAGGCAAAGAAAAGTCCCTGTGTTCATTAATAACACAAATCATTGCTCTGTGCACAGATTTTGTCCAAAGAAAGGCAAGACCATAACTGTTTTGAAATCTATATTTAAAAATAGTTCTGGTTCTATTAGTCATTGTCCCAATCCAGAAATAAAAGGAGTTTATGTTTAACTCTTTATCTACTCCATTGATTTACTTAAATTGCTGAAGAAAAACAGGAGGAAGGTTATTTGTTAGTAAGATTACTGTAGAAATGTCTGTTGACAGAAATAGTCCAATATTGAAGTTGAGCAGTAATAATTAAGAGGATGTTTACAAAATAAGTTGTGTTTACTTTTTATGGAGAGCTGTTTGACTCTTGTTACTGAATGATCTATGAGGATTTGTAGGTTGCAGTTCATCTACAGTTCATTCTCTCCTGGGTTGTTTTTAATTACTTTGCTAATATGTACTTAAGAACCCCCACCAACCTGAATACCAAATTACAGAAAGTTAACACTGAGTGGTTACTGTAGAGCTGCTGTTATTGTAGAGTAGATTTTCACAGATGGCTATAACTGAGAAAAAGTGTTATGGTCAA